AATAAATAAGTCGTAGTAGTAGGTAAATATATAATCATATTTATTTTATTTTGATTTATTATTTATGTATCATTATGCTTGCTCAGCTGCTCAAAACTCTTCCCAATTAAACGATTTTCAATTGATTTAATATTTCCACTCAAGTCCTTGAAGCATCTACAATTCAGTTCAAGTTGCTTGAAGCGACTTAAAGCTTGTTAAAAAATATTTTCAATTTTTTTAATGTATTTTTTGCTTTTGTTGTTTCTTTCTTCCGTCCGCAGCGAAACTTGAATAAAGTATCCCAACAGCTGGCTCCCGAGTCGTATACATGGTACATGTGCTGGTGCTGGTTCTGGTTCTGGTCCTGGTTCTGGTCCAGTGCCAAATGGAGCAATCACAATTGCAAATCCAACCCTCTAAACCCGTCGGAATTCAGTTGCTGCGTGGCTCGTTGTCTTCATATTTGATATGAAAATAAATTTCAATACCAACTGAATCAGCCACGAGGACATTGACGTTGGCAATGATACGGCTGTCGATGTGATTGTTGTTGTTGTTGTTATTGTTGTTTATTCCACTAATCGGCATTCGGTGTCCGCGTCTCTGGTCATCTCAGCATTTGCATGGCTCATTTGAGYACAAGTTGCTCTTTATTTATTTATTTTATTGCGGCCTCATTCGCGTTATGAACTCAATGGTCTGTGGACATTATTTTCATAATTGCACACTACAACAATATATATATATACGAAACAACAAACCTGCCCCCAATGGGACACATGTCCTGCCCAACCACCCAGCCCACCATCCACCCACCCAGCCAGCATCTACAGCCCTAGTTAAACAACATCTTGCTTATTGTTGTTTTCAATTGTTGTTGTTGTTGTTGTTGTTCTTGTTGGGCCTTTCATTATTCGCATTCCATTGATTTTGATGGTCTTTTGTAATCAACTTTTGTACTGTTACTTTTTATATGCATTCCTTCTCAACGGCCAATAATCAAAGAAATTATCGCCAGACACAGAGCAAGAGAAGCAGAAAGAGAGCGACAGATATTCACATACATATATGCTTATGAATATTGAATCCACAATTCTTAGCAATCGGGGCATTCCCATAGAGCACTCCTAGGTGATAAGCGACCGGAAGACATGTTGTCTGGAGAGCGCACAGTTGCACTGAGGCCTGCCTGGCAGCCTGGATAATCCGCGGCTAAGCTTACACAAATGTTGTGGCCTAATTTATCTTGAGTGGATCAATTCAGTAAAACAGCAAAAACACAAAAACGAAAAAAACAAAACAAAACAAAAACACAAAACGAAAACAAAAACAAGATCGATTTGATGATCGATTGAGCCGCTGGCTCAGTTTCGAGAGGATCAGATGACGTGCCAGATTCGACGTTTTTGTTGGCCATTGTGGCCGGGTGTGCTTTTGTTTGTCCGCTGGCCATTGGATATGCTACTCATTTCAGAAAGGGGATTAAGACAAGTGCTGAGCCGGCCCACAGTCGGTTGCACAATGCCCATTGGCAGTGGCTGTGGCAGTGGCAGTTGCAAGTGCATATGCCAAAACAAAGGACATGCACGATCGACCTGCGATAAAGGGCTCACAGGTCGCTCGCCCGTTTACCGACAGCCAGTCTAGCGCGCATCCTCGGGCCAGCGCACATACTCGGCCTCATTTATTAAGCCTAAGTGCGGATTAGCCAAATGCTAATAGGTTTGCTAATGTGAAAGCACCGGCCACACATGCGGGGCCAGTGCCGGCCAGGCTTAAGGCTCTCGCACAATGATCGCGGCCACGGCCCAGTGGCTTTTATTGTGTGCCGCCCTCTCCAGCACACACAACTCCATTGTTCCACCAATTGCCAAACAATGCTGGCCGTAGCGCCGGCGCTGCAACTAGAGCTCTGTTGAGGCCGCAGTTTAAGTCTTCGTTTGCAGGCTCAGCTTGGCCGGAACAAATGAGAACAACAAATCTATTTATATGCTCTTAGAGCAAATTAAATATTTCGTATGGGTTTTGCTGCAATTTTTTATCATTATTTTATTTTTCATTTGAAATGATTTTTTTGTTTAGCAAAACTGCAGAATTTAACCTTTAAATATTATTAGCTGGCTAAGGCTTATGTTGTTATTAATTTAAATATATA